CACTCCTCCCAGTTTTGTGTCATCAGCAAACTTGCTGATGGTACACTCTATCCCTTCATCCAGATCATTGATGAATATGTTGAACAATTGTCATTGTCATTTAGCTTTCAGTTGAACCTTGGCAAATCACTGGGTCGCAGTTCATGCAGGTGGAGGTAAGGTGGGGTGAGATTTGCGACGGAGCTGGTGAAGGCAGCTGGTGCATGACTTGCCGCCTGGGTCAGGGTGCTGAGGAAGGTGGGGACCGTGTTGGAACCCGCCACAGGAGCCCCAGCTCCGGGCAGTGTGGTGACAGACTGGTGTGCTGGAGGCCAGGGGTGGGTGGCTTGGTAACCCAAGGGAGCAGGACTAGGGGTTTCTCATCAGCTCCGTCCTGCAACTGATAGTAATATAACTTGCATCTGAACAAGATCCGTGTTGGGCAGTCAGTTTGTCGTGTGCCATCAAGAAACCCTAAATTCAAGCTGTTGCTGCGCACCTGCTGACCCCTTGCCTGACTTGGGCAGCAGTGTCTGATGCTAGTCTCATTTCTGAACATCCTCAGAACTGACTGGGAAAACGGGCTTTGGAACAAGTTATGTTGCAGGTAAATCATAGAATTATTTAGGTTGGAAAAGACTTAAGATCATCGAGTCCAACCGTAAACCATATATATATATAGCGCTATCGTTTTGAAATTAGCATCCCAGACTTCAGTCTGTCTTATTTTCTCTGGGTAAGTGGTTCCTCTCCTGAAAAGAGTCAGAGCAAATCCTTTTTTGTTGACAGAGACCCTGTCATGCAGCAGGAGGATGGGCAGAGCCTACAACTTTGTTTGGGGCATCATCTGCCTTCCTGAAAGCATCTCCCTGTCACCAGCTATTGGCTTGTACGGGGCAGCTTTAGAGACATGATCATGTCATTTCAAGTCAGAATGGCTCAGAAAAGCTGACGTCTGTCTGCCCCTTTATGCCTGTGGCCTGTTTTCCTTTCAGCTTCAGAAGAATTGCTTCAACCTTGTAAGCCTGAAGTTTAGCGTAAGAAAGGCAGCTACGCTTTCTGCCGTGTAACTCAGGCTTTGGGTAGAGTGCTCTTGAAATTCCAGCTATGTGAATCTGAAGAAACCCTGAATCCGGCACCTCTCTGCCTCTTCAAAGCAGCTGAGTTCTGGATCAGGAAAGTTTCATGCTTTCTTCACTGCGTTATCTTTGTATTGTGTTTGGTTTTGTTGTACCTATGTCTGTAAAAACTTAGGTCTAGTTTTTACAGGCTGGGAAGAGACTCCTATGGACACTTTCATCCTTTCACTTTTAAGCAGATTGTGCAATCTCAAAACTGTGTTTCCTGGTTCTTGCCAGCAGTCATTTGACAGGAAAACCTTACTTCCAATAGTGTGTGTCTTGAAAGGCAAGCCCCTCGCACCCTGCTACAAAAGCAAACACTTTTTCCCAAGTTTTCTGTGCTAAATTTACTTCTGTGCTACGAAGGCTTTGGCGCTGGGCTCACACGCACTGGTGTAAATCAAAGGGTGAATCCACTGAGCGGGACTGCACCGGTGTCAAAGGAAGAGTAGAAGGAGTGGGCTTTTGCTTTTTTTACTTTTAGCAATTCAATAATGCAATTTCATAGTGCACAGCCATGGTCTAAGACTTAGAAAGGTAGGGAGAGAGTTAACTCCAGGGGAAATTGAAGTCGGAAGGCCATGGCTGCGTTGTTTTCCAGCAGATCTTCTGTAACAACTGCTCTCTATATTTCAGCGCGAAGTGGGTCTTTGGGCACTGGCGAGCTCCCTCGTTAGCACAGGGTGTCCTCTGTTCACGTCTGTGGGGTAATGATGTCCGTATTTGCTGAAATGGAAAACCTGGCACGTGCGCAAGTTTGAGGCCTGGCTGTGCCTCAGGTATTAGTTTCACGTATACAGGGCTCGCCGCAACGTCTTGGGCTTGTTGAACAGTTCTCGTTTGAGAAAACTTTTAACATGAAAAGAAATCACAGCTACAAGGAGTTCTATTTGTTTTGTTACGAAAAGCAAGCACAGAAAGGCTAAACAATCTGCTGTGAACACCATGGGCAGATAGGATGCAGATATTGTGCCATCTGCTTTCTAACTCCACTGGGGATTTGTCACAAGGCCCAAGGTTTGGTTTTTGCGTGAAGACAAAGTGAGCTTAGACCCTCACGGGTCCTGTGGTCTCGCTAAAGCCGACAGCATGGGAAGGGCAGAACCGGAGAAGCCTGCCTTTAACATGGATGTCTGCTCGCTTTTCCTTGGCTGTGCAGCGATGAATCGCACTTTGTCCTCCTCTGGTCCCTACTGTGACCAGGCAGGTGGGGAGGGTAGGATGTGTGGGGAGAGTGGCTGAACTCGTTGCACATATGAAGGGTCTTTGTGTTCTCTGCTTCAATGCAAGTCTCTCTTTTCTTTTTTTTTTTCCCCTCCTGCGGAACACAGGCCCGGTGATCGGCAATTTTCCCTAAGCCAAATTTCCTCAGATCTCTTACCATTCTATCTTGTACCAGTTTTCCAAGACAACTGTTGTCTTCCTTTCCTATTCTAGTTTTCGTTTCATGTGGTACTTGGACTGCCCAGTTTCTTCATCTTTTCTTTATTTCTGCCTGGAAGATGAGAGCAAGAGGAAAAAATGGGAAGCCATTTTATGCTAGGAGACACTAAAAGGTGCCACCACCCAGTCTGGCACGTTTATTACATTTGCAAAGGTGCAGCAGTGGCTGTACGAAATGGTTCATCTTAGTCCCCCACTTTGCTGGCCCTTGCAAGTACAGATGTGCCTCCTAGTTGAGCATTGCCCTTGTGCTTTGGGAAGTACTGATTTTCACTTGCAGTCATTTTAGGTGCTGAGAGGCTTATTAGCTTTGATGCCTACGCTTCCCAAGGTGTGCTCCTCCACCCAGTGACAAGTATCTCAAGATCCTGTTTAATAGATGCAGGAGGAGTCTGCTGTCACCCAGGAGATGCTGTTTCCACCAGGAAGGTGCTCCCTGGGCTTCCCGCTGAACCATGGTCTGTGCTGCTCAGAGTCCTTCCAGGTGTTTGTTTCCATCTCTTGCTATGGCTTCATGGGGCTAGTGAGAAGTAAAATGTGTCTTTCCCTTCTTGTGCTGAAATTTAGCGGTGGCCAGAGCATTCAGCTGGAAGATGGGAGACTCACTCTGCAATTGCTGTTACAAAAAGGTTGGAGAAAAAGGGATTGATTCTTGACATATTGTTTTAATGACAGGTATGCTTTAGGGAAACAAAATCATCATAGAATGGTTTAGGTTGGAAGTGACCTTAAAGATCATCTAGTTCCAACGCCCCTGCCATGGGCAGGGACACCTCCTGCTAGACCAGGTTGCTCAAAGCCCCATCCAGCCTGGCCTTAAACACCTCCAGAGATGGAGCTTCCACAACTTCTCTGGGCAACCCGTGCATGACATTCGCCACTAGCCCCTCCTTGTTGGTGAGAACAAGGTCCAGCATGGCATCTCTCCTCATTGATTCTTCTGTCACTTGGAGAAGGAATTTATCCACCAATGCATTCCAGGAACTGCCTGGATTGCGCATGCCCTGCTGTGCTCTCCAACCAACTGACACCAGGGTGGTTGAAGTCACCCATGAGGATCAGGGCTTGCAAATGTGAGAGTGCTCCTGCCTGTCTATAGAGGGCCTCATCCACT